TTTGAAAATTGAAACGATCGCATTATTTTTTATTACAAAAAAATTTTTTTGAAATAACCTCTAAAAAGTAGGCCGGCACATGAGACTACATCCTTAACTGGCGCAGTCGGTAGCCTTTCGCCCAAGGACGGATTCTACCCAGGATTGAGGAAGGATCTGAGACGACGAAGGATGACAAAGATCTATAGCATTTTTTAAGGATGACAAGGATTTACAGCATTTTATTTATTGTTATTATGTAAGAGTGCGTAGAGTGAGGTGGGTGCAATGGAGTAAAAATAAGTAGAATAAATAATAGAAAATGCAAGATAGAAGTACAACGAATCAATAAATCACACAATAAATTAACTAGCCAACGAATACAGGAAAAGGAAAAGGGAATCGTGTTGTAACTAGTGAAAATAAAGCCGGTAATTGGATCCACAGGCAGGGAAAAGTGAATGAGAAATAATTAAGTGCACATTGTCCGAAGCCGAACAAGGGCAGGATGAAAGAAATTAGGCAAGAGGTATACACAATGAACGTGGATATTAAACAAAGGAGTTAGATTAAAATTTTAATTTAAAAAATTTTAAATAAATTTTGAAAAATTAAAAAAAAAAAAACGTTATTCTTTTCGTTCGTATGAACATATTAGCCGGCGCACTGTTTTGCACAGAGCAGCCGTTTAGCATGAGAGGGAGGTAAAATACTGTAATCAATTAAAGATGAATAATAATTAGTATCGATTGTGCTTTCACTTGTATTAGGTGGCGAACTGTGGAGAACAGGGCGGCCGCTTAGCAATTGGAGGTATTAATTCGATGGAAATAATAAAATAATAAGTGATATATATCCATTAACATGTATAAGGCGGCGCTCTGTAATGCACAGGCGGCTGCTTAGCGTGGGAATTGAAGGAAATATATTAATAAAAGTAATAGTTAATAAAACTAAGGAAAGAAAAATTTGGTAAATGGAAAACAAAAAAAAAGAAAAACAAGAAAGCAAAGCTAACTTCGGGCGGAGCCGAAGTTGATATACCCTTGCAGTTAAAACCGGATATATATCGCAAACATCGGATATAGTTGGCCGATCCTTATGATTACATCATAATAAAACCAATTAAATACACATTGAATAAGTGAAAAAAACACTTAATTAAGCAGAAATTAGACACCTAAGTACACTACTAAACACAAACAATCGCACATACAGTATGGATAAAACAAGTAAGGAAAGACAGCTCAATAGTATTAAAGCTAGATTCGTTATGACAGAGGAGGTTAGACCTGCAGCAGTGACGACAACAAATGTTTTAGAAGCTAATAAGGTTGTCGGGTCAAGCAGCAGCACGGCGTTTAATGTTTATGTTTAAATAATGTTTAGCGTAATTATTAGTGTAATGTTTATTTATTAGGCTTAAGTTTGTACAAAGGCTTTGTTGATCGCAAGCCGACTCTTTCTCGGCCGCTCGACTCAACGGGCTTTCTATAGAGAGTTTTAGCTCGCAGTGTCTAGGTCGGGCCGCCCTCTCCATTATTCGAGAGCTTTAGCTTCGCAGTGACCAGTCGGGCCGCCCTCTCTGTACTTTTCTTGAGTCCCTGCATGCACCATAGCCGGTCTATCTGCCGATCATCCGGCTTGATCTGCATGCAGAAATAAACATTTATAACGTTCAATTTAAATACAAAATCGTCTTTTATTTACGGCATTGAAAACGCTTAATGACCAAACAAAGGTAATAGAAAAATTAGTAGAAATTATTCGGAAGTACACTAACAAATTGAATGGTTTAAGCCTTATTAAAGGCGAAGAAAGATGGAATGTAGAGGTAATCGGCAGGAGGCAGAACTGAATTGTGATCGGATAAAAAAAGTATTGATTACCCATTTAAAGGACAAGAGATTGGAGTAGGATTTGATTATGGAATTGACCCATATTAGGGAAAAGAAGCTAAAATGCAATATGCAATATCAAACAACTTGGCTGAATGAAATAAAAACAATTGTGTTAGAAACAACAAAGTAAATAGAAACAAGAAACAAATAGAAACAAAGTGTTATTCCATGATGCAGATGTCATTAATTTTGGTCTTGTTTCAATTGAAGAATTATCGGAAGAAGCTGCACAGTCGCGAAACAAAGACATAAAACTATATAGAAAGCAGAACACGAAAAATATCTCGAATTGCCACAAATACCGATTTGATTAATAGACTACTTTTGTCTTCTGATCCATTTATTACAGGACGAAGGAAATTAACTTGCAAATTTAAGTCCAATTTAATGAAACCAACGTTAAATTTGTTAGAAGAATTTAACTAATTATTATTTTTATACCCTTGCAGAGGGTATTATAATTTTGGTCAAAAGTGTGCAACGCAGTGAAGGAGACATCTCCGACCCTATAAAGTATATATATTCTTGATCAGGATCCTGAGTTGTCCGTCTGTCTGTCCGTCTGTCTGTTTCTACGCAAACTAGTCTCTCAGTTTTAAAGCTATCGACTTGAAACTTTGCACACACCCTTTTTTCCTTTGCACGCAGTATATAAGTCGGAACGGCCCGGATCGGCCGACTATATCCTATAGCTGCCATATAACTGATTGATCGGCAATGGTATAACTTCGGTGTTTTTAGAGTGAGAGAGTTCAAAGTTATTTTTGGCAAAATAATACGACATGCCAAATTTCGTAAGGATCGGCCGACTATATCCTATAGCTGCCATATAACTGAACGATCGGAAATGACCCAACTTTCGTGTTTTTGAAGATATAAAACACACGATACTATAAACGGTATATTTTTGGTCAGTTTATCCGAACTACCGAATTTCATAACGATCGGCCGACTGTATCTTATAGCTGCTATATAACTGAACGATCGGAAATGGTGTTTGGTAGAAATTTGTGTTTTTTTATTTTATTTGTTATGGCTCCTAATTTGTTTATATTACTTGAAACTGGTACTTATTTGTGTTTACAATTTTTGCTATGGCAGCTGTATGATATAGTTTTCCGATTTGGACAATATTTTTACAATCTGTAAGTTTGGTTTACATATCTTGGGGGGTCAGGGGGAAAACTCCTACTATCCAAGACTATATCGAAACTATCAATAAAATAACTAGAGACCGTAATCATTATGAGTTTTATTTTAAAAATCACTCCTTCCTGTCTCCCTTACTGCGTTGTACAATTTTGACCAAAATTTTAATACCCTCTACAAGGGTATAAAACACCAAGAATCTTGTCAGTGTTTTTCCGTGAATCAGTAATAGATCAATGTAGATGAGAATCTGCTCTTTTATGTTAAAAGTTTAAATGTTCCAAAAGGAATGTTCATTTTTTTTTATCAAGCAGGGTTAAAATAAGAAAATATTTCATTAATTAAAAATTTTGCAAAATGGTCAAAACCACTTCAAAAAATTTAATCTAATCAAATTTAGAAGTTTTTATTTTGGTTTCTGCTATTTCTGCAAAAAAAACTGTAGATTGTCGATGTTTTCGAAATTACTTAAAGCATAAGTGTGGCGCACCTTAAGGATGTAGTCTCATGTCGAGACTCATATTTCGCATATTCACATATTTATTAAGTACTGTTTATTAAGAATGTACTGTTAAGTTTCAAATAAAAATATCAAATAATGACAGAGATACAGCCCATAATCGAGAGCGTGCCTACACCGAATAGAATGAGTTACTCGGTAGCGTCTAAATTTTAAACGCGTTTTTCTCGGAATGACATTTGTCGTGCGGCGCAGGTGATTCACAAAATTTCATGGTACCGAATCTAGCTGAATCATGGTATCTAGCTGAAATTTGGATATGTTGTTCTAAAAAGTAACACCTCTGTCCCGTACTAGAATCATTTATTTTTAATGATTAGTTTTTTTAGTTTGATTAGTTCGCCATTTTGTTGTTTATTGATGAAAATATTTCATTCTAGTACGAGACAGAGCCATAAGCTTACAAAACAATAATCTATTTTAATTTTTTGTTTCGAATGACTCTAGCAGTCGAAATCACCTGCGCCAGGGACCTACCTTTTTTTTATATGCATACTTTGGCATGCTTTAAAGTGTATTAAACTACACAAGAATAAATTAAACAAAATATTTTCAAATAGTTTATGATGCCTATAAAAACATATTCGAAAATTGAAACAATAGCATTATTTTTATTCCAAAAAAAATTTTTTGAAATAAACTCTAAAAAGTAGGCCGGAACATGAGACTACATCCTTAAAGCAAAAATAATATCATTTTTATATTTATACCATCTTTAAATGTAGGAAGGTAATGAAGGTAGGTAAATGAAATAAAAACAAGAAAGGAAAGCTAACTTCGGGCGGAGCCGAAGTTTATATACCCTTGCAGTTAAAACCGTATATATATTGCAAACATCGGATATAGTTGGCCGATCCTTATTATTACATCATAATAAAACTAATTAACTAAAATAAAAAATCTAAAAAAAGTCCCAAACTTCTATCTTCAAAAATACGAAAGTTGATATTTCTACCAAGTACCATTTCCGATCGTTCAGTTATATGGCAGCTATAGGATATAGTCGGCCGATCCTAATGAAATTTGGTAAGTTGGATCAACTGATCAAAAATAGAATCTGTACTAAGTTTCAGCTTTCTATCGTCAAAAACACGAAAGTTGGGTCATTTTCGATCGTTCAGTTATATGGCAGCTATAGGATATAGTCGGCCGATCCCGGCCGTTCCGACTTATATACTGCGTGCAACGGAAAGAAGGGTGTGTGCAAAGTTTCAAGTCGATAGCTTTAAAACTGAGAGACTAGTTTGCGTAGAAACAGACAGACGGACAGACAGACAGACGGACAGACGGACATGCTCATATCAACTCAGGAGGTGATCCTGATCAAGAATATATATACTTTATAGGGTCGGAGATGTCTCCTTCACTGCGTTGCACACTTTTGACCAAAATTATAATACCCTCTGCAAGGGTATAAAAAAGCTAATTATAGTAGAGAAAGTAAAAATTACCTTTCACTTTCTGCTGTTTCATGGCGATCAAGACGCGCATCTACAAGATTGTGTTCATGATGGTCAGCTGATTCATAAATAGCTTCATCCTCCTGGTGTAAATGGCTGTGCGAGGAGTGATGCGACGAGTGTGGACCGTGTGTTGCATGTCCATGCGCATGAGAGTGGTGCGTATGATGTCCAAATGCATGAGGTGAATGGGATTGATGTGGCGCGTGTCTTGCGGCTGGCGGTGGTTGTCGGTAGCGGCTACCAAGTGAAAATCTTGCTTCCTCTTCGGAGCGTGGACGACAACGATTACTGTAAGATGTATGAATTGTAGCAGTTTTCTGCGATTGTGCTAATAACTGATTGGAGCTGAGAATGATAGAAATCAAATTTTTTTTAGTTATAAGTTACTTCTTATTATGTATAACACATAAGATTCAGAGGCCGTTAGTAATGATTACTTTTAACATTTTTTTTTTGTAATCACAATACATATAATGAACAATTTTCATTTTTATTTTTTATCACAATTTAATTTTTTTTCACTTAGATATAAATGATTATTCGCTAACCAAAAAAATAAATATCAGTAATAATCAATTTTTTTAGAGCGAAGAAATACAAATTTTCATTGTTCGCTGAGCTTAAAAAAAAAATAATAAAACATAATTATTAAATTAATTTTTTTCGGTCAAAATTTCTTACTCACTCAAGATTGCGTGCTTTTTTGTGGAATATTTTTTATTTCTTGTCCATAGAGTATTATACCTATTAATACCTTACCGAATTTGCTATTGAAATTAAAAGATCAACGTCTGAAACGTGGATCAATGACCTTTCAAAATAATTTAAGAAATAGACCGCAATCATGAATTGAATGATATTTTTGAGCGAAAAAATAAATAAAAAATAGTGAATATATATGAGTTGTCGCTCAGAGAATAATGATTAAAGATTAATCAATATTAACGGTCCGTTATAGGATTAAATTTAAAAATTATGTGAAATGGAATTAGAAAAAAATATTATGGAACATTACCCGGAATATGAATCGTTGTTGACTCGGGTCTAGTACGAAAAAATGTGAAAAAATCGAAATCGAACATTGGGCACTAACCTTAGGCATGGCCTGCATTCTGCCAGAAATATGTACGTTTATAACTGGCTTAAATATAATTGGAACAAAAATAAATAAGCTTGTTTTTACTTAAAAAAAATAAAGAAAATTAAACTAACAAGTGAAACACATTGAAATTTTTTATAAAGTTTAGTTGTGTATAAAGCACTACAAAAATGATTAGGTTTCACAATAAAGAACCACTTTTGATACTAATTAAAATCAAGCAAAAATAATTTGTTTTATTTTTATAAATGAGCTATACAAATTAATAATTTTTATATTTTAAAATGCCACTAACCCTTGCGATGACTCACTACAAGCAGCGGAGCTATCTAATCTATAGTGACGATCAGCATCAGTTTCTGACATTCGAATATCTTCTGATCCGTTCGGACTCATGTGTCGGGATGAGTGGTGTTCAAGTTGTCTTATTAAGTCCTCTAGATTACGTATGCGTAAAGGTCCAGTTGCTGGTGTTTCGTCTTCATCCAGTTGTTGCGTTTGCAGTGCCACACTTGAAGGTTGGTGCAACTGATGCTGCGATCGGTGGTGATGCAGCAATGCAGTACCATGTGAGACACCGCCTGGCATAGAGGACGAACCGCCAACTGTCCCAATGCTTGCTCCCAGGCCCATGTTTCCGAGACCAGTTCCAGTGGAATCCAGTAATATCGCGTGCACGGCAGCTTTGTCGCAAACATTTTCACGCGAGTTGGACTTTGATCCATTAGTTCGTTTATGTGACTCAGCAGAGTATCCCAGCTGGGAAGAGTTACACTCCTGTAATGTTTTCCGTAACATTTCCTCACTAAGACTACCACTACCAACTGGTGTGTTGCCAGTTCCAGTACCACGGTGTGTCGCAGCATTACGTAGAGCCTCCAAAATATCTTCATGGTATCCGTTAAGTGATTTTAAAGTTCGCTCTACTTCAGAGGCTGCGGCGCCGCCACTGGACGATGCCAATGGTCCATCTTGAGCTATCAGTTCGAGGTTGTCAGACTGGCTGTCTTCACCCCATTTGTCTTTAAGTTGCTCCCCATGAACCAGACCATATCCATGCTTTTTTAATATTCCCTTTTCTGTTGTGGACAAATTTTTGTTTTATGCAATAGAAGAAAGGGAATCATTTTTAGATATAAAACAAATAGAACAAGAGAGGACGGCTACAGTCGAGTTTCCCGACTATATGATACCTTGTACTTATCTTTTTCACCTTGGTACTTGGTATTTTGGTGTTTTTGGTGGTGGTGGATTGTATATCCTGGCAGTTAAGTAACTATATAAATTATAAGATACAAATCGGATAGTTTTTTTCGCGGTCGTTCAGAATAGGAAATGGCTTGTTGATTAATTAGTACATCAGCTAGCATTCCTGCATTCATCAAAAAGCTTAGAGGCCCATACGACCGAGTGGCGCTCAAGAAACGATTTATTAGTATTTATTAAGCTATTTTTTATTTATTAAGCTAAGTAAGTTTTGTAAAGAAATTTTAAATACTAAATTTTACATTTGAAGGACGGTAAAGAGATGTTATAGAGGTGAAACAATTGTAGTTCGAACATAAGACCCTAAGAAGGTTGTTAATAGATTTGATTGGATTTGAAATAAATTTGAAGTTGTTTTTAATTTAAATTGTAAGTCTCTAAATCTAGTCTAAGATGGCTTAGGGCGGAGCTGGAGTAAAAGCTCATATTCGCTCTTATGCGAATTCGCCGCAATAGATAAGTTAGTCGTAAGACTAGAGAAATAGAATTCGATTTATAACGTTGAAGAGGACACAACGTTTTTCGTTTTCGCTTTCGACATTTTTATATATTTAGCAGCCACTATTATTATGTTTTATTTTTTTATGTGAACTAGTGAGAGAAGTAGTGAGAAGTGTGAACTAGTGAGAGATAAACTAATCTCTTTTAACATGTTGGCGACCCCGGCTGGACATTTGGGCTAAATATTTAAAAAACATAAAGTGACAGTGACACCGTGTTATTACACACAACAAATACCAAAAATACAAACATTCAAACAAAATCAAAGAGCTGCTCGAGACGCTCCGTAAAGTGCGACTTAAATTTTAAAAAAATTCACCGCGTCGTGAAACCGTCGCAAGCCGCCAATCCAAGGATCATCGCCACCAGGCTCACCAGCGAGCTCCATGCCGTGTACCTGCATTGACTGCACGAGGAAAGTGGCAGCGGGATTAAAGGAGCCCAAGGTAGAACCATAGATACTTGTGCAAAAAAATGAAAGTTGAGAAAATACGAATTAAACCTACGTCTTGTGCTGGAATATTGCACCCTCCTTTCAATTCTTGATACGAAAACGTACTTGAAATTAGTAGAGCTAACAATTTGAATAGTTTGATTAAAATAATTAACGAACTGCCTGTGTGTAAAATTAATAAAAATCGTGATACATACATATACCCACATCACTGTCGCCCCCTTCATTAAATGCCTTCACTATAGCTGAAAAGTCCCATCCAGATACTGCAATTTCTGCAGCCCCAACTCGAGCTCGACTTTCCAGTTTGGCATTGCAAAAATTCAGTGAAAACTATTCAGAGTTTAAAAATTTTATAAGTCTCTTTGAGACATTAGTAGACAAGGATGTGAATATTCCTGTTATCGACAAATTTAACCATTTAATTTCGTGCCTCTCTGGTGAAGCCTTAGGAACTATCAAGGCATTCCAAGTCACCGAGAGTAATTATGACAAAGCTATTGCTAGTCTGAAAAGAGTTTACGATAACGAATGTCTCATCATTGCGAACAAATTATTCAGCCTTCCGAAAGTTTCCCAGCCGTCTGCGTTGTTGTTGATATGTCTCATCGACACAGTGTCATCGTTCTATGGGTCACTATTATCCATAGGAGATCAGGCCCGGCAGCAGTAGTGGGTTGAGTGGGTGGCTAGACCCACTCGAGAAATCCCGAGTGGTAAAATTACCCACTCGAAATAATCAACTACCATATATCGTCAACTTGGTCGATTTACACATTTTGAATTTCACGCGGGAAACATACGCGCTCGGAGCATGCGCATGGTGTACGTGCACATATAACACACATTCATGCCAACGACGGCTGTATATCACCATATGCTTATATTCGTTTCATTCTCGCTCGTATGTGCTTTAACAGATTGAAAGAAAAGAACGTGCGTACTTTGCAAAGAGACTTGAGAGACGACAGTTGGATAGATTCGTCGTGCGGCTGAAAAGGAAGAAGGAGGATTGCGGATTGCGACCAGCAACCGATCGAGAAAAATCCTCGAAAACCGAGTCTTCTCGAGCATCGAACGATTCTTCTAAACAATGTAAGAATACGACAAAAATCCAAATGATTTGCTAGTTTCTGTGTGATGTATTTATATTTCATCAAAGTTCCAAAATGGAGCTCTATACGTAAACAAACGTGCCTTATATGTTATATATAATACAACATAAACTTACTTACTTTATGATACAACGTGAAATGTATCATAAAATGTATAATGAATATATAACTTAAATAATAAAGATATATTTTCAAATGATTATTTCAACATTTGTGGAAAAAAACCTATCCGTGGCTTGAACTCAACAAAAACTCTCTCGCAATTTGCTACGTCTGTACTGAAGCTTGTGAACGGCAATTGATCGCTAATTTCGACTCGCAGGCTGTGGAATCAAAACAAGCCTGGGTCTATGATGGATTTTCAAACTGGAAGCATGGGTCATATCGGATGAAGAAACATTCGTCAAGTGTTCTACACATCAATTGCACCGAAGCACTGGCAATGAAGAAGATGATGAAGAATAGAACGGCGTTACTTCAGCACTTTAAAAAAAAACAGGGTTTGCCTTTAAGAGGAGACAAGAATGACGAAAATTCCAATTTCATAGCGTTCTTGAAGGCTCACTCGGAAGACGTTCCTGAACTGAATTCCTGGTTGCAGAGAGAGTGGATACAGATGGCTTGATCATTAAAGTCAAAATGAAATACTCGATCTGATGGCGACTTCAATTTTGTCAAAAATCATGGACGATATAAGAAGAGCGGAGCATTTTTCGATTCTAATAGGTGAAACCCCAGATGCCTCACGAATAGATAAAGATGCCTCCGTTTCCGATGATTTAGTTGCAAATAATAATTTTATTGGATTCTTTTCAACGCCAAACACTCAAGCAGAAACTTTTTTCGATCTTGTTGACAACATTTTCGTGAACTCGTGGCTTCTTTCAAAACTAAGAGGCCAGTGCTACGACGGGGCATCCAATGTTTCTGGAAAATTTTCTGGATTGCAGGCGCGTATACGTGAGAAGGAACCTCGAGCTTTGTTTGTGCACTGCAATGCCCATAACCTGAATCTTGTTGTACAAGATTCAATTGAAAAGGTACAACCAGCCAGAAAATTCATAGGGTCAATCAAGGATTAGATAAACTTTATTCGAGATTCACCAAAATGCGTTGCACAATTCAAGGAGTTGCAGACTGAAGCGATGGAAAAGAACAACGAAAATGTTTCTTTTGTCGCAGTCTTCAACCCGACAAGGTAAAAACTACGATCGAAAATTTCGTCACATATTGTAAAAAAACCTTCAAACCTATTTTGAAACCTTCTCATTATTATTTTCCAGATGAGCGATAAGAATACGGCCTCTCAAGATAATCAAGGCGAATTATCCTGAAGTGCTGAAATTCCTCGATGATCGATCGGTCGACAACGAAGTCGATAGTACGATCTCCGCCAAAGCTACAAAAATGACACGATTTTGTTTACGTATATGTAGAAAGATCTCAACAAAAATACATGTTTTAAATAGACTTAGTAATATAAACTATAAAAATGATGAAAATTTTTCTTTTTTTTTTCCTCCACTCGGAGGAAGACTACCCACTCGGGCCGAACGTGTCCTGCCGGGCCTGTAGGAGATGACACTAAAATTGTAAGCTCAATGATCACACAGTGCGACAGTGATTTGGAATTTTTGAAGAGACCTAGTAGGAATTGTTCATTAGGTCGAGTATAGTATAAAACCATGTTTGAAATTTTTCATACACCCTCAAATCTTGATTTATTTCGAAATAACGGTTTTTCGAAAGTGTTTTGCTCTTAAAAATTCCTAAACGCGTAATTTTATGCCGATTTTCAATTTTTTTACGTTTTTCAATAGTTAAATATTGTAGCTTTTGAAAAAAAAATACATCTTTAATTTATTTAAACAGAAAGGATACAAATTTTACTAAAGAAATTGACATTTTGATACATATCAATATTGTCTCGTTAATTCTGAATAAAACGAGACCAATTTCATTTCGAAATTGTGAAAATTGTTGAAGTTATAACGCTTTTCCCAAAACAAGCCATAGCGTTCCGGAGCAATAAAAATGGGAAGAGTCACTGGATTATGAGGAATTGCCGCTGTGGTCCGATTTCGAAAAAAAATTAAAACGTAGGTACCAGCACCTGTCCGCTGAACAGACTGGCAAGCCAAAACAGGAGAAAATTGTGTTCGGGAAGCAGCACAATAGAAGTTCGTTGGCTTGCTCCGCTTCTAACAAACAAGCTTGCAGTTATTGCAACGCACAAGACCATAGTCTTGCCCAGTGTAGTCCGTTCGCTCGCCTTGCTGTAATGCAACGGTTTGAGTTTGTCAAGTCAGCCTCAGTATGTTTAAATTGTCTTCGAAAAGGTCACACGGTTGCAAAGTGTAAATCGACTAGGTGTCAAATTTGTGAAAGATCATACCACAAACTTCTGCACCGATTTACTGTGACCGAAAATAACTTGGCGTTACCACCACCAAATGAACATCATCCTCCATGCGCTTCATCTTGATGGCCCTTCTACGTTACATGCTTTGCATACGTCATCCCTAGAAAAGGTTTTGTTAGCGACGTCGACCGTAAGCGTTAGAACTAAAAATGGCGAGCACATATTGGCCCGAGCATTACTTGACTCCGGGTCACAAATGAACTTCATTACTGAAGATCTTGCTCAACGCTTTCAGAACACAGAATACAGGGAGGAATCGTGTATTTACTTGCTTGGAATCGGTCAATCTAAATCCCACGTTAAGAAAAAGATACACACTGT